ACACTGCAGATGTTCAAGATTTTAGCTTTAAATGCTCTCGTATCCGCTTACTCCCTATCCGCTCTCTATATGGACGGGGTCAAATTTAGTGACACACAAGCCACAATTCAGGGTCTTTTTTTGGCAGCCTGCTTCCTATTTGTGTCCCGTTCCAAGGTGGGCTCCATTTGCAGATTATTATGAGAAACTTTAACGTTTTGAATAACTTCAAAGAAAAATGAGATAACAGACTTTCACTTGTTTCTGCTTGATTCAGTTCCTATTAATAACATCTCATAAATTTGTGTTCTTGTTTTGAAGAAAAAACATTGCTTACTACAAGTACCAAAGCCTTTCGGAAAAGTGATGATTGCTAATTTCCTAAGATCCATGATACAATCGCCGAATTTTTTATTAATTAGTTCTTTTATTTCTATACTTTATATTATCCAGGGTGTTTGAGAAATCCTATTTTTTCCAGCCCTTGAAAACACTATCCAAACAGCGTCCAATGTCGAACATATTCAACGCTTACACGCTTTTAACGGTTACCGGACAATTCATCGTTCACTTTGGTTGTTTGCTTTATGTAGTGAATAGTGCCCACGCGGCATCGCCAAGGTGACGTTTACATTGTCAATCTTGAAATGTCGTGTTTTGGGTTCAGTTTTTTTGTCGTTCTATCAGCAGCTTTTTAGCGACGAGCCTGTTGATTTGGAAGCTAAGTTTACCCCTAGTGTTTTGAATACGAGCGTATACATAATATCTATGGCATTGCAAGTCTGCACATTCGCTGTGAATTACAGGGTATGTCGATTATGTGCTGAACGGCTTAAATAAGTGTTAAACAAAACTGATAAATTGTTAGGGCCGGCCATTTATGGAGTCTCTTATTGAGAACAGAGCGATGCTGTACAGTATATTAATATCTGGAGGGTCCGTATTTATGCTTGCCACAGGAGCCTCTGCCGATGCGATGAAACAGTTTGAGCTTGTGGTTCTTCCATCTGAGGTAATCACTTTCGAATTTGACGTCAGCTTAGTCATGAATTCATTTCAGCTCCGGAATATTCTAGTCTATTGCGTCTCGTTCGATCTCGTCGCGTGCTATATGATTGATCGGATCCTAAACTTCTTTTTAGGCGATATGTTTTGATTAAATGTTTGTTGTCATTGTAGCACTTTGGCCACTCATCTGTCTGTGATTCCTTCATAAACTTTGTATAGATTCATTCTCGTTGTTAATTTGTTATTTGCTGTTACGTACCTTTATTTACTTTCGTAGTTGAGCAGCTCTTCGTAGGTTTCTCTCTACTGTTTGTGCTTGACACCAAGGCTGTAATCTCTTCTATGTTTGTTTCAAATCTGCCTTTTGGTGACAGTGATTAATAAATTTTTGGATGTCCAATCCATTTGATTTATATGTTGCAGTCTATCTAATACCTGATGTGATGAGCAAAAGATGAACACGTTCCTGTCTAATTTTGTAGCTTTTTGTTTGGTTTGGCAGTTGTACTCTACATAATTAATGCCTAAATGCTATCCTACATATTGCTATGTTTTCTTCTATTCATAGGAATTTTCACGCCATAGTCGATTCCCTGCACAAATAAACTAAAATGATTGCGGATTAGGAGGCGGCACGAGTGCGAAAAATTGCACTAGAGGACATACCTGGTTTCTTTCCGGTTCTTCACATTTCTTTTCCTTCCTAATTATAATGTGTCAATAGAAATCTCAGCAGGTGTTATTTTCTATCCCAAAAACTGTGATAATTACCTTCAAGCAATAGAAAGGATTTGCTAAAGTGGATTACTGGCAGCCTGTACTTGAAAAAAAA